TCAGGCTGTGCTCATTAGGGCTTTGCAGAATTCCCAATTATCTCTTGACCTGGCCCTGAGCAAGGCTCCTTTTCATTGCCCTGAAAAAGGAGTCAGTGGATCGAAAAGAACACCCGATTCGAAGTTCTCCGTGGGTTTGGCTCTGAAGTTCAGTTGGTAGAACACAGAAATGTGGTGTTTGCTGGGATGAGAGCTTGGGGGAGGCAAAAGCAGGCTTCTGGAGTGGGGCAGTTTGGGGCCCTGCACAGAGGTCAGGAAGAGGTTATGTGAGAAGAGCCTGATGAACACCTGAGGGGTGTTTCAGTGAGTCTGTGAGTCCCACCAAAGGTCCAGAGAGCCTGGACTCCTTCCTGCCCTCTTGACTCTTGGCTCAAACAGGACTAGAAGGAGGGCTTTCTCTGCTTTGGACCTGGGCGAGCCAGCTTTTGAGTGTCCCCAGCACCAGAGGAGAGAGCTGAGTTCACTGTGACAGCTCTCCCTGTGGGGCCTATGGAATACACGCTCAACCTGTCGCCAGCCTGACGTTCCCTAGCTGACTGTTTTGTTGTGCTTTCAGTGTTTCCCTGGGTAGGGCCCTACATGCTGTTTCCAACGTGAAATGCAGACTCTGAAAGAGAAGACAGTGCCTGGGGTCTGACATATCCCAAGACAACTGTCCTAATGCTCCTGGGACCGATTAAGACGGAGGTCAAACGTGTACCTGTGGGGAATGACGTGTGTCTCAAGTCCTTTGACGTAGCCTTGTGAATCAGGATGAGCACGCTGACAACAAATAAACTCATTAATTCAGTGGGTGGTGATGCCAGCCCTCTAAACGTTCAAATGGGACTTGAATATTTACTGGGCATACTACAGGAAGATTTTAATTTTGAATGAGTGACATACAGCATTGGGGAAGATAATAAACTATCAATATTAAATTTAAACAGGGTATACTGGTCAAATACAGAAAGCAAGGGGATATGGAAGCGTAATTTAAGTGTGGCTTTGGAATTGTTTTGCTATTTTAATTTGGCCCCTAGCTTTTCGGATCAGATGACAGAGTATATTAAAAATGAAAAAAATTAATTTTGATAAAATGCATGTAATATAAAATTTACTATGTTAAAGTGTACAGTTCAGTAGGGTTAAATACATTCACATTGTTGTGCAACCAATCTCCAGAACCCTTTCATCTTGCAAAACTGAAACTCTATACCCATTGAGTGACAAGTTCCCCCCTCTCCCAGACGCTGGCAACCACCATTCTACTTTCTGTCTCTGTGAATATGACTTCTAGGTGCCTCATATAAGTGGGATCATACAGTATTTGTCTTTTTGTGGCTGGCTTATTTCACTAAGCATAATGTCTTCAAGGTTCATCCATATTGTTACATGGATCAAAATTTCCTTACTTTTTAAGACAGTAATATTTGATCGTATGCATGGACATTCTGTTTATCTGTCCATCCATCAATGGACATTTGGGTTGCTTCCACCTTTGGCTATTGTGAACAATGCTGCTATAAACAGGGCTGTACAAAAATACCTCTTTGAGACCCTGCTTTTGATTCTTTTGGATACATACTCAGAAATGGTAATGCTGGAATCATATGGTAATTCGAGTTTTAGTTTTCGGAGGAACTATTATACTGGTCTCCACAGCGGCTGCACCACTTTGCACTCCACCAGCAGTGCGCCAGGGTTCCAGTTTCTCCATATCCTCATCGACATTCGTTATTTTCAGTTTAAAAAAAATGTTGATAGCAGCCAACTTAATGAGTGTGAGGTCTAGATGTAATTTTTGAAGGTAGTAGTGTGGCAATGATACTACATGAAAGTAAGTTGCTGAACTGAGCTGACTGGGGAAGAAAGTCTTTAGCCGTGAGTTTCCAGGCTGCACACAGGGATTTAAGGTATCAGTGTTTGGTGGCTGTCTCTTTCCACATACTGATTCAGAAAAGTGGACCTCTCTATTAATTCTGGAAACATGGATTTTGTGTTTTTAGGCTTCTGGGAAGCAAGAAAACTCAGAGTTGAGTGTACTGGTTAGGGTTCAGGCAGGCTTGGGGCTCACCCTTTTGTCCCCTGACAGGCTATTCTAATGTGCACCACTGACAGGGAGACAGACCCTGTTATGGGCTGGATCACGTCCCCCTAAAATTCATATGTTGAAGTCTTAACACCCAGTACCCCAGAATGTGACTGTATTTCATATCTCCTCACCCTTAGATATTAGAAACGTTCAGTGGTCCCTGTAGGTAGCAAACACAGTTTCAATTCGGAAACTGGAATGGTTCAACTTGAACTTGATTTAATATCTGATCTTTTCCCTTCCACTGACTCAGGCCTGCTTTAAGCTGGAAACCTGCTATGGTGGATAGAAAAGTGGCCCAATTGACAACTGGTCAACGGGGGATTTTGGTTGGGAGGTTAGATAGCTAGTGCAATGGTTTGGGGTATGTTGCACATCAGCTCAGACTAAGCCCATCTGGCAGATTTTGTGAGGCACTCAGGTAAACGGAGTGAGTGAATTCACCTGTCCTGCCTTTCTTAAAGCAAGAAGCTGAATTTTGTCTCAGGTATAACACTCAACCCAGGTTACACCAGGAGTAACTATAATAAATCCAGGACTTGAAAAATCTGTGGAACTCCAAAGCTCATGATCTTTGAGTTATACAAGTATTTTTCAAACTAGTTTCCTTGGAACACTAGGATGGTTCACGCCGTCTTTGGGGGATGGACTGGGCTTGTGAGTTGTTATAACAAAATACTACAAATTTTGTAGCATTTGGGTGGTTTAAAACAAATTTATTGTCTCACAGTTCTAGTTCTGGAGGCCAGACCTCTGAAATCAAGGTGATGGTAGGGCCATGTTTCCTCCAATGCCCCTGGGGGAGGATCCTTCCTTGTCTCTTGCAATGACTTGTCACCCTAGGCGTTCCTTGCTTGTGGTGGCATCATTCCAATCTCTGCCTCTGTCTTCACATGGCTGTCTTCCCTCGGAGTCTGTGTCTTCATGTGGCTTTCTCCTCCCTCAGTGTCTCTCTCATCTTCTTATGACGCCGGTCATATTGAATTCAGGGCCCGCCCTACTCTGGTATGACCTCACCATAACTTAACTCATCACATCTGCAAAGACCCTATTCCCAAATAAGGTCACATCCACAGGGGCTACGAGTTAGGATTCCAACACATCTTTTTTTGTAGGGGGGGTGGGACACAATTCAGTCCATAAGAGACGGGAGACAGGCCATGTGGGTGGGGTTCTCATCTTCACCCAAATTTCAACTAGGGCTGCCTTGCTTTTGCCTGCTTAATATTTTGGGATCCTCTGAAGGACTTTGAGAAAGAGTGCCACTGGAAACCACCTGTCTGTGGTATATGCCACTTTCTACAAAGAAACAGGCAAACACATCATTCAGCTGGCCCAGAAACTGCTTTTGCTGAAGGTTTACAAGCCCAGTATCTCTTCTATGTGCTCGATCTGATTCAGCGCAGGCAGGGCACAAACGGCCAGTCCCCGCTGATGGCTGTGGCTCTTGAACCGCCACTGAGAATAGAGTGAATAGCCTCAGTCTGGCCATTCTCTCCATCCCTGTTCCCTTTGAGTCCCCTTGAATCGCCTTACGTGCAACGCGTGTGTGGTCTGTTCCCCGGGGGTCTCTGCGTCAAGTATTCTATCCCTTACGCTTTCTGATGCCTTCGGAACCCAAAGCATCCCTTAATTAAAGGCAGTGGGTGGCATGATGACAGGATTAGTATCAGTGTCTGGCCTCCCTAAGGACAAGGGGACATTGTGGCTGACGTTTTCCCATCTGTATAACCAGCCTGTTTATAAGTTGATGCAAAATCTAAAAGGGGGTGAAGGCATGTATCTTCTGGGCTTGCCGTCTGCTCTACTGGCTTCAGGAAAAGAGTGGCGTTAAGTCCCACAGGAGTCGTCTGGTTGTTTCGCTTCATTGCAAATGTAGGGTGCTGTGGCTTTAAGTGCATTGCTATTCTGCCCCTTGCTTCACTGCAGAATGAACAACAATGATGTTCTGCTGAACATCAATTACAGACGTTTTAGAAAGGGCTCAGCCGTTTTGTGAGAATGAAGCTGTATTACTCAAGTGTAATGAGCCAAGAGGAAAAACGTCTCGTTTTCATGCAGCACTAGTACAGACCCATGCCCTGGCTGCCAAAGATCCTTTTGTGAGTTTGGAAGGTACAGAGTATTCACTCAGCCTTATGAGCACTAACGTGAAAGGAACCTTCTGGCTTAGGAACTGAGCTGAAATGAATAGCAGGGACAGAGCTTTTGCCAACTAATTATCGACGGAATATTCAAATACAGAGTTTGCAAAATGCCAGCTCCTTAGTGGCCCCTCCACCAAGCCGTCTCCTACCCCCCAAACACACATGTGAAAAGGGTTTAGAAATGATCATCAACTCGAAGTAAATTCTTTTACAAATCCAATATTTATTTTATTTTCTTATGTACAAAAAGTAAACTCTAAATGAACATAAAACGAAATAAAATCCTTTCGGCTGTACTGACTTTAATTGCCCATTATCTTATTGTCACAATTAATCATATAAACACTATATGGACTGTCACCACAATGTCACATTTATTATACAGAAGGAATGTGATATTTGGCTAGTTAAGAATGTTAAATAGACAGAAATAGATCATCAAGCAACTGGGGGAGTAGGGTGGTGGTCAAAGGATTCTGAGATCAACACTGTATTAAAAGAAGTAATCTAGGAACTTCCCTGGTGGCGCAGTGGTTAAGAATCCGCCTGCCAATGCAGGGGACACGGGTTCGAGCCCTGGCCCAGGAAGATCCCACATGCTGAAGAGCAGCTAAGCCCGTGCGGCACAACTACTGAGCCTGTGCTCTAGAGTCCATGAGCCACAACTACTGACCCCGCGTGCCACAACTACTGAAGCCTGCACGCCTAGAGCCTGTGCTCCACAACAAGAGAAGCCACCACAATGAGAAGCCTGAGCACCGCAACAAAGAGTAGCCCACGCTCGCCGCAACTAGAGAAAGCCCGCACGCAGCAACAAAGACCCAAGGTAGCCAAAAATAAATAAATGAATAAATAAATAAATAAATAAAAAGTAATCTAAACAGCAAATCTCCAATCAAGAATTGTGTAGTTAAAGGCCCAAATGCACTTCTACATGGTTGACCCAGCATAAAAGAACCACTGTTGCATCCAGAGGACATGGACAGCTGATGTGTGAAACATATACAATTGAGCTGTGAGATAAAGAAATTGTGAGCTGGGAGTGAGATTTTGGAAAGTACCATTATTTCTATAGGAGAGTCTGGTAGCAAGGTCATCATTTTGAATTGAACACTGCAATAGTGTGTGGGGGGCGACTCAATTTCTTTGCTGATTTATGGCAAAACAGACCTACCTTGGGTAAGAGATGAAGCCAAGGGTAACATCACACATGCAAAGATTTTTAAAATGAGCTGAATCATGTAGTTTTACTTTTTTTTTTGCTAAACTCTATTATTAAAAGGCTTTTTAAGAAACTCAACATCTTTAAGTAACTATGTACCCCCAAGTGATCCATGTACAGGTTTGTTTTAAACCAGTCAGCTCTTTGGGCCCATTTCTTTGCTTGGTAGCTGCACACGCAGTTCTCTTGGGAACAGGCCAAGGGGACAGACATTGACTTGTTCTGATGTCTAATAGCTTGTGCATGTTTTTTAAAATAACATGAGAAAAAGAGTATACTTTTTAAAATTCAGAATCTAATTTGTAAAACTACTCATTTTAGCATGAGCTCAGTGTTGACATTTTCAGATCAATCATAAATAATGAATTCTCCCAAGAGAGGTATTTCTAGAGGAAGTGGGAAAAATGTGAACTAAAGATACAGCTCCTGCACCATAAATATCAGCCACTTTGGGCTAAGCACTCTCTCAGGGGGTGAAAATAATGCGTCAGAGCATACGTGAATATACCTTAGTTTACAGAGGTGGAATATAGGAAATTTTGAATGATCTGCATCTGATATAGTTGGTATAGTTGCTAATATTACGAAACTGCCATTTTGCAGATTCTCTTGAATGCGTGATAATAACCCGTCACACACACAGCTTTGACAGACCCAGTTTTATGCCTTCCTATGGCAGGACAGAAATCAGTTTAAAAAATCTTGTTACAAGTTGGACTTAAATTATACATCAATTATGGATTGCTCACTGGACAATGAAAGAACATATCAGAAGTCAGTTTTCACCAGTGGACTTGCATCTTCACTGGCTTCCATCTAAATGTCCAGAAGGTCATCTCCGCTTTCGTCGCTCTCCACTGTCAGCTGCCGAGTCCACCACTTCTTAACCTCGGAACCACAGGAAGCTGTGTCTGTCATGGGGTTCATCTTGCACACGACAGATTTCATTGTGGTCCGCCCTCCAAACCGTAAGTTGACCGAAGACACCGAGTGGCTTATTGGTTTTGGTGCTGTGGAATCAACAAGAGTCCCGTGAGCAGCCTGGTGTGGCTTCCCCCCGTTGCTAGCCATTCCTGAAACCCCCGATGGTCCTGTCAGTCATACTTTCCAGGAGCAAGTCCTACCCATAGATGTCACGTATGAAACCTTTCAAATACTTGGCTCTTTATATTCATAGTGGACTTTAAAATTATGTTCATGGACTAGTAACACCATTTGAAAAAAATATGTTGCTTGCAATTTTGTGGGGTTTTTTGTTGTTGTTTTTTTGCGGTACGCAGGCCTCTCACCGTTGTGGCCTCTCCCGTTGTGGAGCACAGGCTCTGGACGCGCAGGCTCAGTGGCCATGGCTCACGGGCCCAGCCACTACGCGGCATGTGGGATCTTCCCGGACCGGGGCACGAACCCGTGTCCCCCACGTTGGCAGGCGGACTCCCAACCACTGCGCTACCAGGGAAGCCCTGTTGCTTGCAATTTGAGATAACTACAAAAACTAAAAAAAAATCACTAAAAGTTCCAGTTTGGGCAAATAAAGTGTCATGGAAATGTGTCGGTGTTCATTACTATATACATATTAATATAAAGAAACAACAAAGGAAAAGAAGGGATAGTGTAATAGACAGTGAGGGGAGAGGAAGAGGTTTGGAGAAGGTAAGGGAGGAAAGATGTGGGTAAATAACATTTTTTTTTTTTGTAAAAACAGACAGAAGTGTAGCATCAGAGAAAAAGGCATGATTCCTGGACAGATTTAAAATACGCTAAGGGCAGCATTCATTTTTCCAATCCATGTGCCTGGATAAAGCAGCTTGTATGAAGACTTTGTTGACACACTCATGGCTTTGGGAGTCTATCAGTCATGGTTTGGGGTACCACTTCTGTGACCTGTAGATGTAACCAACATCAAGTTCATGCCTCTGAACCCAAGTTTCCTCAAGTGCAAAATGAAGAGATTACAAGTTTCCTCACTGGACTGTTGTGAGAATTAAAATAGATTAAATGAGATGACCTAAGAAAATGCAGAGCAGAACCGCCATGTAGTCCAGCACTCCACTTGAGGAGGGTGCATATGTGAAGGAGACAAGATCACTATCTTGAAGAGATACGTGTGCCCCTATGTTCATGGCAGTATTATTCACCATAGCCAAGATATGGAAACAACCTGTGTCCATCGACAGATGAATGGATAAGGAAAGCGTGGTGTGTATCCAATGGAATATTAGCCTTAAAACAGAAGGAAATCCTGCCATTTGCAACAACGTGGATGGACCTGGACGGCATTATGCTAAGTGAAATCAGTCAGACAGAGGAAGGCAAAACCTGTATGCTCTCAGTTACATGTAGAATCTAAAAAAGTCAAATTCATAGAAGTAGAGAGTAGAATGATGGCTACTATGGGTGGGCAGGTGGGGGAAATGGGGAGGTGTTGGTCGAGGGGTACGGAGTTTCAGTTGTGTAGGATGAATGAGTTCTGCCAATCTAATGTCCAGCATGATGAATATAGTTAATAATTCTGTATTGTATACTTGAAATTTGCTGAAAGACTAGATTTTAAGTGTACTCACCACACACACACACACAAATGGTAGCTTTGTGAGGTGACACATATGTTAATTAGCTCTACTGTAATAATCATTTCACAATGTGAACGTTTATCAAAACATCACATTGTACACCTTAAATGCATACAACTTTTACACAAAAATGAAAGGGAAAAAAGAAAAAAAAGAAAATGCATAGCATGACACTGGGGGGTACATCATTGGTACCCCATCTTCAAATGCTCTTATTCCTGCCCAGTGCCTCTTCAAACTCAGGGCGTCCCCAATACCATGTCCCTTTAATTATCACCATTGCTGGCACTGGGGCCACCTATGGGCCTTGGAAGCCACTCTTGACAGCATCCTTTCTTTCATCCTTTTAAGTGAATACCAAGGACTGTGCATCTCCCCTAGGTCGTCTCTCCTGTCCGTCCCTCCATGGTGTGGACCACTGCCTTCACCCGTGTCCTCATCGCCTCTCGCCCACACTATTGCACCATCCTCTGGCTCGTAACCCTGCCTTGGGGCTCTGCCACAGACAGCCCACTCTCTACACTGCTGCCATGTGAGTCTTCCTCAGCAGGATTCCAAATGTCACTCCTTGCTCAGAAATCTCTCCTGGTTTCTGACTGCTTACAGGATGAAGTTGAAACCACTCAGCCTGTAATTTGGGGTTGTTCATGGCCTGGCCCCAGCACTTACTCAATCTTGTTTCCTCTCACTCCCGGCTTTCCTTTACCAGGTGGAAGGAAGTCCGGTTCTCTCTGATCCCTGCATAATAGCCTCCGGGGTAGGAAAAAAGAGATTTCCCTCCCTGGTGTTAAGTGGCACTGGACAAGGGTAAGGCGAACTGTCTTCTGCTTTGCGGGACAGATGTGCTACGGAAGACTTTGCAACAGTCTCTGTCTCCTCACTTGAATCGGGCTGAGGAAGGGACACAATTCTAGAGCCTAGGAAGCCCCCGCTTTCCCGCGGGCTCACTTCTCTACAGAGAAAACCCTGGGCCGGGCAGATCATTGCTCTCCTGCCACCTCTGCATGGCCTGAATGGGATTATCCTGGCTTTCCAGACCCCCATGTCCCTCTAGAAGAAAACGCTCTCACTGAATCAATAAAATGTGGAAAATAATAGGACCGTGAGGCTTAAAGGAGGGAACGTGTGTAAGGCCCTCACAACAGTGATTGGCGTACAGTAGGTACTATAACAGATGAGATTACACTAGATAAGTTTTGTTGTTCCTTCTTTGAGAAACCTGTGTCATTTCTGAGTGACATGTATCCACCTACTCCCTCTTAGATTAAATGAATGTTGCCTACGTTTGGGAATGCCTGGAATGTGCACCAGAAGTCCGTGGTGGTAATCGCCACCACTTTCTAGATCGTGGTTATAATATCTTTGTTAATAGGTGCTGCCTTCTCTATTAGCTGACTGTTCTGTTCAGAGAAGTTATTTTGAGGGAAATGTTTTTGATGAGGGAAATACCTTTTTCATTGTTTACTGTCTATAAATACAACTTTAGAGGCAGACCTGAATTTTGAAGTTCAAGACCCCAAACACACAAAGAGCACGGATGCCCTGAAAATGCCCCACTTGCTCGAGAAAGGACTTGCCATACATACCCGAGGGCAGGCGCCACTGGCCGAACTTCCTCTGGGGCTTCCCGGCCTCGGCTGCGTCCTGCCGACTGGCTCCCCGGTCCGACAGCGTGGGGCTCAGAAGCCGCTGCCGGCTGCTCGTCTGCAGGGGTGCGGGCGGGAGAATCAGGCGGTTATTCCTCGTGCTGTGCTCTCCTCCTCTGTGCACTGGCCTGGACCCTCATTTCATTTTAAGGAAGGAAGAAAGCCCCGCAGGAAAGTAAGTGGCGAAGACAACACGGACCCATAGTGTCAACAGTGGGGACAGGAAGAATGAAAATGGGTAAAAAGAGTCAGGGAAAGTGAGAGTCACCACTGCACAGGGTGAGGAAAGCAGGCCCGACCCTGCAGGTAGTGCTTTTTCTTGGGCATCCCTCCCAGACTCCTCCACTCCCAAGGCCACACACCTGCCACCTGCCACGGGGCACCACCACGTACCAGGGCGGGGGGAACAGTGGGACTGCCTGGTTTGGGGACAGTACATGCTTGCCAACCCAGAGCCTCCAGAAGAGTTCTCAGCGGACAAAGCTCTAGGATGGGCCCCGGAAGAGAACAAAACTTAAACCAATTAACACTGAAGCCAAAGAGAAATGCTCAGATCTCCGTGCATTCACCATCCGCATCCCTTTCCTTATCAGCACCGTAGTTCTCACCTCTCTTCAGCGGCCCCTCGGGCTTTTTGACCTAAAACCAGAGAGCTCTGTTGCCATCACCTCCCCTGTCTCGCTGGCTGTGAGGCAGGAGATAGATGGGCCCCAGGCTGAACAGCTGGAGTGCATCCCCCGTGGACAGAGCCCAAGATGAAGAGGAGAAGCTGAGCCCTGCCCAGATAAGAGACCACATATTCCTCATCCTCGAGGTCAAGGAGACCTTCCCGACTACACACACGCAGAAAGGTTCCTAAAGGTTCCTCGGAGGTCAAAAAGGGAGGGAGGCGCCACCCCATGGTAGGTGATGTCAACCTACCCATAGGCCTCTTCGCTAGAATCCATCTTGGCTAAGAGATGCGTGTGCACACAGGGGAGGACCCTGAGATACGCCAAATACAGGCTCAGAACCAGGCAAAGTAAGATGATTGGCCAAAGGAAGCTGGAAGAAATGCCGCATATAAGTGATTCAAACTACCAGGAGGGTGCGACTCTCCCTCTGAGCCCGCCCGTGTGTCTAGCCACGCGTATTCTTTTTCCTCCTAAGAAACACTTTACTTGTTTCACTACTTTTTTTCTCTTTGTGGCCATTCATTTCGACACAACTGACGGGCCAGGGCCTTGTCACTGGTGGTCTAGTGGCTGGGATTCAGCGCTCACACCGCCGCAGCCTGACTTCAGTCTCCGGGGAACCGAAATCCTGCTTCAAGCCGCTGCAGGCCAAGGTCACCCGAGATCAGCTGTCTTGCTCTTACCCCGGCACCACACGTGACCACTGCCAGCCATCCTCAGGGCAGACAGGTGGCAGGGCCATTGTAGAAGCCCCACGTCCCTGCTGTGTTGACCGTCCCTGCACAAGTAGTCAGTGGCACGTGATTCCTACTGGCTGGGGAGCCAATGACATGAATCCACCCAAAACTAGGCTGTAGAACAAGAGGGCCCCTTGGAGTGTCCTGCTGGGCCACGGAGCCCCAGGCTTCAGTGTCTGTCACCTGCCCCGACTGTGTCACCACACACCCAGATCCGAGACCAGCTCCAGCCGATTCATAACTAAGCCTCACAAAGGCTGGGCCTCCCGCCAGTTGCTTCTCACACACAAGCTCTCCAGGACGCTGGTGACTCTGTGCTTTTTTTTTATGGACGTGCAGATACAGTCTGGAAATGAAGCTATGCCGGGCCCTAGTACACAGAAGGTCCTCCAGCTGAGACTCCCCAAATTCCATATGCTCTTCTGATGCCCAGCTAAAGAAGGACAAATCCTCAGTGAGCCTGACTATTTAAGGAGGTGGAAGGCCAACTGCAAGCATTTTTGCTCATTTTACTGCAAGTTTCTGTGACTTGGTGAGGAGTCATGTTCTCCTAAGTCATGTGATGTTAACTCTTCAGACAAAAATCCAACAGGATTATTAAGTTCAGAGCATTCCCACTGTTTTTTGTATCTATACAAATCAGAATCTTTTGAGATAACCTCCACTGATTCAGGGATGACAAAGACACAAACATCAACTGGATCGTGTTCCAGTTTTTTTTTTCCAACTTAACTTCCTATTAGAGATAGTGTCACTTGTTTAAAATGACTACGTGAACGGGCATCGATTCATGTTTTGCGAACACCCTCAGGTGACGGACGCCTCCCGCCCGGACTGTACCTCGGGTTGCATGTTGTTATCCTGACTGTTGGCGTTCAGGTCCTCGCTGGGCTGCGTGGTCTCAATACTGGGTGGGTTCAGAAACCGGCTCAGCTCCTGCTGTTGGCTCTCTCTCAGGCTGTGGATGATGCTGCAGGACTGCTGCTGTTTCTATGGAAATAGGATCGTTCTTTCAGGGACCAGAATTTCAGCCCAGCATCCCCCTGCCCGCACCGCTCAAATCTTATTTTCTTCTCTCTTCTTCAAAGGACCTGAATGCCTGGTGACCTCTTAAGAGCTTCCAAGTAAAGGTTCTTAACTGATTTCCCTGAGGAGCATCAGATTGCTTTAAAGGAGGACTTGGAGACTTAGGAATTGTCTTCCCATCCTGTTTTCATTTGCATAACAATTGGAATAGTTATGCTCACTGATACTACCTTGTGTTTTACTTTAAATAGAGTTTTTTTCCTTCTCTGAAAACATTTTTTTTTAATCGAAGTATAGTTGATTTGCAATGCTAAGTTTCAGGTGTACAGCACAGCGATTCAGTTATACATATAGATATATTCGTTTTCAGATTCTTTTCCTTTATAGGTTATTACATAACACTGAGTACAGTTCCCCGTGCTATACAATATAACAGAAATTTTAGATCATTAATGTGAGTTTCCATTTTTTTCCCTTCTTATCTTACACTGTGCTAAGCCAATGTGGATCGCTCCTTTCCTCTAAATTGGAAGAGGCAGGAGACTTGGGTGGATGAGTGAAACCCTTGCTTCACTCTTGTCTTGGCTCTGGTTGGAGCAGGCCAATGCAGCAGCGGGCCAACCTGTCTTGGCGCACACTGAGGCCTGGACGGTCTGGGGTGAGTGGGCACTGCCCGTGCCCTGTTAGGGCCTGTGGGGGGGCAGACGTGATCCCTGACCTAGCAGGGCTATGGTGGCGCAGCTGCTGCAGCTGCCTTGCTATTAGAGGTTGGACGGGCTCCTTGCTCTGGGGACCTTTTCTCCTCCGATAGATATGTTTCGAAGTTGGTGGTGTTCTGAGAAACAGGATAAAAAAAAAATCTGTTATGGATAAATGTTTAGTGGTTAGTTTGATTTTCTTCCCGTGTGTGTGAAGCATAGGTCAAAACCACTCATAAAAGTAATAACCTAATGGAAGTGCCCACTGTAAACACAGCCTATATCAATACAGTGTATGTTCATGGATTTATGAGTTAGAGAGTCTTAAAGCTTATAGTTCAGGAAGCAGATCATAAACTCTGGGGAGAGGCGGTCTTTAATTAAAGATCAAACAACACTGTCAACAATATGTTGGTATTTTTAGGAGTAATTTAAAAGTAGTTTTGTAAATTCAGTTGCCGTTCAGTATGTAGAGATTTCTGGCATTGTGAACACTCATATTTCATAAATGGAGATCATAAATATTTTAATATCCATAAACTGCTTTTTCAACGTTCATGCTAAGCTAAAAATGTGATTCAATGGAAATTTCTTATGGACTCTGCTCAAGAGGGTATGGCTGAAGGTGGACCAGAATTCAGGTTTGAATCATCGTTAAGTGGATAAAGGTGACGTGGCTATGGGCTCATAAGGTGATCACAGAAGGCTCCAGCGTAGGTGCCGAAGGAGCTCTTTCCGTTTGACCCTCCTTCCCCCCCTCCTTTGGGAGGAGCGAGTAAAGCCTGATGGGTCCAGCTCACTCACGGCTCTGATGCGCTTTAAGCACTTCTTCAGCCACATGCGGATGGTCTGCTTGGCCACCTCCTCCTCGATGGTGTACTCCAGCTGCTCCCTTGCGAGCAGCTCCTCCAGCTGCAAACTCTTCCGGATGTCAACCGACCGGTAGGAAAGCATGCTGGTGGGGGGGAAACATGCAGTGATGAGCTCTGAGGTACCTGGGGTCTAGACTCTCAGAATCCAGAGAGAACATCACTCCATCCAACCAATGTAACATCTGGACGCCAGCCCTGACCAGCTGGAGGGCTTGGGCTGGTTATGTCACCTCTCTGTCTCTCCACCCTCATCTGTCACATGGGGAGAGTCATGAGACCTACCTTACTATGTGACGAAGTTCGCTAGTATTCGCAAGGTACTTGCAACACTGTAAGCGTTTGTGAAACAAAATGTCCAGGCTAGGCCCTGACCTATATTATCAGCTGCTTAAGACTCTGGAACTTTCCCTGTAGAAGGAAGGCTGCTCTTTCTATACTGTCTTCACATTCAGATCCAATTGGTGATGGTCAGGAGGCTTGGCTGTGGGTCATGCATCCAATCCCGCCGCCATTTCCCTCTCAATTTAACTCATTTGCCCCCTACATCTTCCTCATTCATGTTAGATGGGTGCAAAGCCAGGGTGGAACGTTCACTCCCATTTGGCCCTCGATACAATAGGCCCAGGCAGTGGCAAATGAAAGCAACACAGCTGACGTGCTGCACTGGGGCCCCTGGGCAATAAGGCACCTCATCCGTCCAGGCTGAGGGGCTCAGAGCCAAAGGCACAGCGCCTTCTGGTGCTACCTGGTGCAGCCGCGGTACCCAGGTTATTGCTCAGCCTCTGCCTACCCCGAGCTTCGAGCTCAGAGCCCTCTCCATAGTCCAGATCACAGCCTGGAGGCGCCGGAGGGGCCCTCCCCGTGCAGGTGCAGCCCTGGTACGATGACCTACTCTTGTTTGCTAAGGTTCTTCCCACCGTGGGCGAAGAAAGCACGTTTGCTCTTCCTCTCTTCTCTGCCTCATCAAGAATCTCATCGTTGAACAGTTGTCATCATATCCAGGGCTAGAGGAATAGGGAGGGGCAAAGGATGCCACCATCAACTTCGCCTGGGTCCACGTCATCAGACACACCAATGTGATCCAAAGAGGCTGCGTGTTAATTATTAGGGACAGTGATATGTCTATGCACCTGACTTTCAGCCTAAAAATATTTATCACTAGGAGGGAAGACGGAGTGACATTCTGAGAGAGATGGCATCCTTTGCTGTTCATCGGTGTTTTCTGCCTCATCTTTTCCTGCCTTTTAGCTTTCCCCTAGGAATAAGTGAAGAGAGGGAGGTAAAATCGATAACTTGAGAGAACTTCTCCCAGATCTTTCCTCTGTTCTGGTCTTTTTTCAAATTCCAGTCACAACGTATTTCTGTACGCCTGAACGCTCCTGAAATTTGTGACACAGTACCCAACATTTTAACTTGCCAGGTATATGCAACATGATGAAAATAGTTACTGGTGGCAGAGGACGGTTCTTGACTTTTTCTGGGGCATGGATCCTTTGGCAGCGCAGCTGATGGGACATTTCTTAGAACAAGGTTTTAAATACATTAAAAAATCTGCATTACAAAGGAAACCGGTTATATCGAAATACAGTTCTCAAATTATTTTCTTTGAAAAGGTGATGACGTAGTAACATAAGTGCTTCTGTATTATTACATTAAATAATAACATCTAGCTGAGGTCAAATGACTACTGTAACTCAGAACTGGTGAGCATAACGGATATTTTAAGATATCAGACACACAGTAATGCGTGTGAAAATGTCTGTGATTTCTACTGGTGACAAAGATACAGGTATATCATTGAAGAAAATGCTGCATTTCAGTGAGTAATTAGTGAAAATAAAGATGTAATTGTTTCCCTTTCCAAGACCACGGACCTCTGAATTCTATCCATGGACTCCCGTTTAAGAAGCTCTTATGGGTTGCATTGTTTTCCCCTCAACAAAAGCTATGTTGGAGTCCTAACCTCCAGTACTTTGAAGTGTGATCTTATTTGGAAATAGGTCATTGCAGATGTAGTTAGTTAGGATGAGGTCATGCTGGAGTAGGTTGGGTCCTTAATCCATTATGACTGGAGTCCTTATAAAAGGGGATATCTGAACACGGACACAGACACACACACAGAGGGAGCACGCCTTGTGAAGATGAAGCAGAGATGAGGGTGATGCTTCCACAAGCCAAGAAACACCAACAATGGCCAGCGAGCCACCAGCAGCTGGGTGAGACCTGGATCAGATCCCCCCTCACAGCCTCAGAGGGAACCCAGCCTACTGACATCTTGAATTCACTTCCAGCCTCCAGAGCCGGGAGACTAAACTTGCTGTTTAAACCGCTTAGTGTATGGTATTTTGCTAGAGCAATCCTAGTGAATAATACAGAAGCCTCTGTGTCCCCCTTTGTCCCGTCTGGGTTCTCATGAAATGGCTGGAAAATGGGGTTTGCCAACCAACCAGGGGCAACCGTCCCCGGGTGGGCCAGGCCGACTGTGGCCGGACCCGTGAGTGAGAAGGTTGGGGGCTGTAGCTTGCACTTGACCACAGGGGCCTGAGGAACAGAGCAGGTGCCCAGCTCTCCTGGACCGCTTCCTTCCTATGGTATGAGGGGCGGCCCGGCTCCTCTCCCTGTGCAGCACAGACGCAGGGCTGTGAACCGCGGTACCTGAGCACATCATGGAAGGTGACATCACCGCCGTTGTGCAGCCTCTCCATCTCGTAGCACATGTGCTTGAACAGAAGCTTGTCCTTGTCCAGGTCCACCTCCAGCCTCCCCCGCAGAAGCCGCAGCAGGAACTTCACGCGGAAAGTCGGGATCACCCCCTGGTGACAGAGCACAGTCACTCGGAAACAGACCACAATGATTCGCTTGGGCTTCTGTTTGCACAGCAAAGAAGCCCACATCTAGCTCTCAAAAGCTAACATAATCGGCACCGGCACAAGGAAGCCTCTGGCCTCCCAGAGGCCGGGGGGCTCTGTGCACCCAGGGGAGCCAGGGATTAAGAGCCCAGCCCGTGGAGTTGCTGCTGGAGCATCTCTGGTTCTAGAGGGCGTCCCGCCGCCACGCGGGGGCAAGGAAGAGGCAGAGGGGACCCTCGGCCTCCCCCGGGCACAGCTTCTACACTCCCTCTTCTTCCTGTTGCCCCCTGCACTGCCTCAGCCGTGTTCACCTGTTTCTCTAACACACGTGCCAAGTGGGCCAGTAACGCACGGAGCGGAAAAAATGGGGCGGACATGTGTGTATGATCCTTCACTTAGTCCAGATGCTGGGGACTTCTAACCATGGGCTCAGAGCTACCCTTCTAGGGAAAGACCACTCTTTTCCGGGGCTTCTCTGTTGTTAGGACAATTACATCCAGCAGGACGGGGCTCCCAGATCTGCCCTCTCGCTGGTCGGAGCAGATGCAGATTCCGAGGACCTAACACATGTCACTCCGTTCAGGGCAACAAAACCTACGGTGCCAGCCTGGCTGTGACTTTGAGTTAAGGAGTTGGGTGAGAGGCAGGGATGTTGGTAGCCCGTGAATTCCCGTCGGTTACGAATGTCTACACGTGTGAGTGGTGGTGTCGCCTTCTGTGTGTGTCAATGGAAAGCAGGTTCCTTGCAGTGGCAGTTACAGAGACCTAAGTGGATCCAGGTGAGACAGAGACAGGGCCAGACACCTGCACACGCAGGTCACTGTCTCGGAAGAACCCCCCCCCCCCCCGCCCCAGGCCAGTGCCTGGGGGCCGCTAAGGAGAGAGGGAGCAAGCCCAGGGGCTGGAGAAAGTCCTGCATGGCAGTGCAGACCCCAGCTCTGGTCCAGGACCCGGTTTGCTCTGCCCCTGGCTCCCTGGTGTCTGTGTCTACAGTCGTATCTTCCAGAAACTCTTTTCAGATCTTCCCCCAGGTCTGCCCATGGCTGAACTTTCCTCATTTGTCAGGTGTTACGTCAAATAACACGTCCTCAGCCAGGCCTTCAAGACCACCCCGCTAAAGCATCTGCCCCCCATCTCCAACCACTCTGTCCCGTGCCACCACCTTCTTCAAAGTGCTTATAACTTCTTGAAATGGTAATAATTATTACAATCATTGTTTGCCCACAATGGAACACAGGCTCTGTGAGCACGGGGACCTTGCCACCTCGTTCACTGTCACATCCCTGGTGCCTGGAACTGCGCCTGAAGCTTTGCTAGGAGAAGGGCGAGGGGGGCAAGGGGGAGGGGGAAGCATCTGCTGCTCTGCCTAACTCTAGGCAATCTTGGGTAAGATGTATGATGAAAACATTCAAATAATAAGTCCAAAATGATAACTTTCAGAAACCACTTAAATAACTCCTTTGCACTTCTAATCAGAATTGCTGTGTGAGAGCTGAGGTGATCATGAATCTGTATTATACTGTCGCTTTGGTGATCTGAACTTCACCCCCCTCCCTGCCCTGAGCCCCAGCTGGTCTCTTCAGAGCTCCCTTGGTTTCCTTTCCTTGCCAACCTCCTGAATATCTGAAGGAGAGGACGTTTGTGGTTGGAAAGGACACGATGGGGAACTATTCTGTCCCTCTCCCTTCCTTGTACATTCTTCTAAATTGTCAATGACAGCTTTCTGCAATTCAGCAATGGCCTTTCCAAATTCAATACATGTCCACTGAAAACAACAAAACCACTGAAATGTCTGCAGTACGGCAGTTGGGGTAGGGGTGAGTTATGAGACAATACCTCTCTTTTATCATCCACCATGTTCCATATGATTTGAAAGTGGCGAAGATCGTTGTAACTTAAAAGCTGGTCCTCCTCAGTGGAATAAAACAAGGAGAAATTCTCCACAATTATGGCTTAAAAAAAAAAAAGGGATGTTAGACAATTATGCTAATCTGTCATTTTTCAGAAAAAGTACATCTATTATAAATAATGAATTTTATCACCTACATTATAAGCCAAATTATTAAAGGGCTTTTAGTATGGTTTCCAAGTTGGCATGTTTTACACTTGGACTGAGCTATTTATCCAGCTTCCACCTTTCCAAAACACGCATCCTGTGTCTAAATGCTTGTGCCAGCTGGCTTCAATTCTTAGTTGAGTTCCAGGGCAGCTTTTAAAGGTCAAGTTGAGTTCTGGATGGTCCCACATCTGGGGGGACAGTGTATATCTTTTGAAAATATAAATGTGATATTTCAAGGCTGGAAAGGTAGCCTTCCCTGGTATTTGTCCAACTGAATCCATGAGAAGAGCTTTTGAAATGAATGATCATAATAAATAGAACAACTCTTGAAATTGCAATCAACTGTCATTTACATGCCTTTCAAAGGTCTTTTCAGCTTCTGGACCGAGGGGCAACAATTTATAATTAATGCCATAAAACACCCACCCCAAGCAATCCAGGATAATTACTTGGAAATTGTACATAATTATCTAATAACCTGAGTTTAAAGAGATTGAAAAATAATTCAATGAACATCACTTACCTACAAGCAGATTTAGCATGATGTAGGCAATGATGACATAAAATGAACAGAAATACATAAGTGCCCCAGCGTAATTCCCACAGTCTGTTGCCCAGTATGTAAATTCATCTGGAGTACAAAAGGGGGGCTGGACCTGTGGGCCCGTGGCGGGGAAGGGGGGGACAGGGTGAGAGAAGAAGATTACAAATTTCCGTTAACTGACTGTAGTTGTGAACATATTCCTAACGATATAAAATATAAGTAACTTCAAAGTGATCTTTCAAAGGCCCATACATTGGGTACCTCATCTGTGGCAAAAATCAAAAAGAATATTTCATTTATACTATGCTTTTGGTCTTGTAGGATCCCAAGTTCATTGCCATTTTAGAAGCACAATGAACACGAACTCCCTTCCTTCAAGAGATACTCTTTGTGCCACCTCCACTAGCCCCAAAGAGTAAGTAGTCACTGTGATGCAAAACGCAGAAAGTCAGAGAAAAAGGTGTTTAAAAAAAAACTCTGACTTAAGTAATGGGTTAAGATTTAGGAAGATCTGCATACACAGCAAATTCACATTCAAGTTGTGTAAGGAAAAGCCAGTAATTCTCGTTCTTGGAGCATCGTTATGGAATATCATTAAATGGCACAAGATTCAGGTTATCAAAAGCCTCCCCATTCTTTTTTTTTTTTTTTTTTTTTTAGCCTCCCCATTCTTCACTGGCCCAGTAAAACTCCAACACCTCTGAGAAACCTCCTGGTTTCTTTCAGCCAGAGAGACTAGCTCTTTCTTCTGCATTTCCATGGCATTCTGCTTGTTTTTATCTAGAATTTATTTAATTCTGCCTTGTATTATTTTTGATTTGGTGAATTCTGTCCCCACTCATTCATGCATAAATTTCCTGAGCTCTTCCTATGTGCTAGGTTTATGCCCAGTGTTGGGGACAGGCTGGTGAGCAGGACCCAGACCCCTTCCCTCTGCCATGAAGCTGACAGCCTAGAACCCTGCAGTCCAACATGGTAGCGGCTAACTCCACGTGGCTATCTAAATCCAAATGTGTGTTCATTAACATTCAATACAATTAAATACAGTTGAAAATGTGGTTCCTCAGTTGCACTAGTCACATTTCAGGTGCTCAATAACCACGCATAGGTGGTGGCCACTGAATTGCCATCTTTGCAGAAATTTCTTTTAACAGTTGGTCCGGAGGGTGAGAGGGAGCTGAAATAAACCAATCAAACCGATAACTCACTGCAGTTGTGCTACACACTACAAAGGAGAAATACAGAACACTGGGAGGACACAGAACCAGCAGCCTTAGCGCTGGGCAGGATTCCTGAGGGAACTGAGCTTTAAACTGAGACCTGAAGGATGATGAAGAATTAGGCTCTAGAAGTGAGGACAGCTGAGGGAGAGTATTGCTCAGAGCCCCTGACATAAACTCCTTGAGAATGCCTTGGAATCGCTGAGGACCGGGCACGTAGTACAGGGGCCAGTACAAACCAGGGGCTCAGTGAATATCTGTTGAATTAAGTCAGAGAAGTGGAACTCTCCTGTTTGTACTTGACTGCCAAAATGTCAAAGATGGGAGGGAAAGAACAATGCTCACATAATGCAAATTTGTTGAATGGAACTACAATAGCTTGACTTGGGTTCACTGGAAATTTTTCCTGTATGTCCATGTATTGTAATGTAAAAGAATGCAATTTTACGGACTAAAGGGCCAGGATATGTGTTTTGTACACAGTCTAGATGCTACAAGGATGGTGCTGCCTATATTGTATCACCAAAGAGTTTTATCTGCTTCTAAGTGAAGGCATCGCGAGCGATGAGGGGACATTTACCATGCAGTCATGCATAATCTTGTTCCAATCTTCTCCTGTGACAATTCGGAACAGTACGGTAATAGCTTTGCCAGCTGAAGAAAAGTTTGCATGCCTAATTTAAGGAAAAAAAACCAGAATGTGAGTAATATGGTTTGTCATGTAAGGGCTGTCACCACCAAAACACATGGATTTTAGAGCAAATGTGATTGCTAAGTTACCATTTCCAAAGGTTACACCCTTTTATTTGTTTATTTATACTTGCCTCCAAGTATAGCTATCTCAGTAGTCCAACCCTAGCATGGTGCCAGCAGTTTATTGCCATTCATCTTGAATGACTGAGAAAGCAAGCGTTGACAATTAGAAGTGATTCCTTCTTATGTGGATTATGCTATAAAAGATGGGGCCACCATATATCAAATAAGTGATCTCTGCAACAAGACACGTTTGTATTTAATTTTCTGTGTAAGGACTTAAAAAAAAAAACACTCAGAAATGGTTCCACAAAATTTAAGACAATCTTTGAAAAATGCTTTCCACATATAACAATTTGGGGGTCCTAACTGCCCATGTTTTGCTTAAAAAAAAACAAAGCCATCTCAAAATTGTTTAATTAAAAAAATAATGTATCATTTCTGGCAGTATGTGGATAAAAGAATTGCTGGAATTCACCAGGATATTAGAAGTAGTTATTCCTGCATGGTGGTGGAATTATGGATTCTTTTTGTTTCCTTTTTTTTTTTTTTTTGCGGTACGCGGGTCTCTCACTGCTGTGGCCTCTCCCGTTGCGGAGCACAGGCTCCAGACGCGCAGGCTCAGCGGCCATGGCTCACGGGCCCAGCCGCTCCGCAGCATGTGGTATCTTCCCAGACCGGGGCACGAACCCGTGTCCCCTGCATCGGCAGGCGGACTCTCAACCACTGCACCACCAGGGGAGCCCGTGTTTTCTTTTATTTCTGAATTTTCTAATTTTCTAACAGTAAGCATGCATAGTTCCAATGAGAAAAATGTCATTTAAAATTTGGCCATTTTATTTTGTTTTAATTTCCAAATGATTGCTTCCCCCTCCCCATCTTTGTCTAAAACACATGCAGATATGTATCCATGATTTCATTACTAAAAACGTTTGCTTAATAGTTGAATAGAAAGATAAATAGGGCTTCCCTGGTGGCGCAGTGGTTGAGAGGTTGAAATATATACCAACCTGTTAATGTTCTCCCCATATTTCACAGTACCAAATAAGACGACTCCAGCAAAAGCATAGCACAGCAGCAGCAGGAACATCCCCACTATGATAAAGAAGCTCTTATACATGCTGACGACCACTGTCAGCAGGAGCATCTTTAGTGTCACCTGTATGGAGGTGAGGGTGGGGGTGGGGATGCGGAAAGAGAAGGAGGGAGGGGACATTCATCTCATCAAGCCATGGTGAACCCGGGAAGTAAGTAACAGTTAAGCAGTCTGGCACAAAAGTGATTCTCAAGGATGTCACTTGAAAGTTGCTTCCTATCTGCTATTAAATTTGAATTTTATTAAATACCATTAGACCTAAGGAAATTCTGCTCATATTTCAAACTTCAGCCTCTTTAGCCAAATTAATAAAAGTTCCACCACAATATTTTAAGCCTTCTATTTTTCTCTTCTCTTCCTCCCTAACTCTTTATTATACAGGCTGTGCATTTTTGGCCAATAGCAAGCAGACCCAGGATTCTTCCACTAACAGACGATCATAAAAACAAAACTAAACGATGGTAAAATACCAAATAACTATCAAATATTTACCATACTGATTATGTGGATATATGGACCCTACATGAAATAAAGTTAGTAACAAAAAAGAAAACAGTGCTGTAAAAAATGAAAAATATATGTGGAATGTATTGAACATTAACAAAGAACATCAATAAATCTGGAATCATAGGATCATGAATATTTGTTAAAGATATTCTTCTTTGCAGTAAAATTATTTAACTTTATTAAAAATAAAAACAATAAAAGAAGCATTAAGAAAGACCATTAGTCTTTGCTTTTGTGCCTGACATTTTATCTCTAGTTGATGATTGAGTTCACTCAGAAGATTAGAATAACTAAAATAACACAAATGTCAGGAAACGAATCACAAGACAATTAAGCTACCGATTCATTTGATTATTTGCTCATTTTGACTTACGATGTCTAGGAATTTGTTAACTCCAGCCCTGGAGACCCAGAAGGGCAGCTAAAGTCAGTTAGTCATCACTCCTTTCTTCAGTGTACACATGACCTATGACAGCATCTTCACAATGTACTTACATGCTTCCCGCAGATAGAGAAAAACCGGAAGACAATCACACACGCGCCCATCATGTAGGTGTACGCGTTCTGAAATTTAAACAGAGGAGAGCCTCTTGCAATTTGCACGAAAAATCTTGTTACAGTTCCATTTTTCATTTTAAGTCTTCTGTGAAGTCTACTGAATAATGAGTTTAATAAAATGTGAAAATTCCTCTAAGAAATGTATCTTAAAAAGGTGCTGAAAAGGTCACTGCCAAAATTCATGAATAAATATTAGCTATAAAATCAAATCTTAAATGAAACTTTCGTCTCTGTTTTGCTCAGCTGAATTCTGTATTTTAAAACTTATTTTACACAAAATAGTGACCAGGTCCTTTGAGGAGCGAGAAAACCCTAGGATAACAATGCAAGTGAAGAAGTCAAGGGAGACAGGAGATAAAAGAATCCTGGCTTCCTTCTACAACTAGAGGGGGTGCTGGTGTTGGAAAAGATTGCCAGGGGTCAGTTTCAGCTTCCTTCTCTCTGAAGGAAGCTGAAGCCGGCCACATGCACATTCGTCTGAGCTGATTTCAGAGAAGTCCTCCCTCTTGAAAACACATCCAGCTCTTCCTTCAAGTGTGTGATTGGCAGCAAGAGATGACTCGGTAATATCTCTTGCATGGATACCAAGGGGGAAAGGGGGGTGGTAGGAGGAATTGGGAGATTGCGATTGATACATATACCCTATTGATACTATATGTAAAATAGATATCTAATGAGAATCTACTGTAGAGCACAGGGAACTCTACTTAATGCACTGTGGTAACCTAAATGGGAAGGAAATCCAAAAAAGAGGGGATATATGTATATGTATAGCTGATCCATTTTGCTGTGCAGTAGAAACTAACACAGTATTGTAAAGCAACTATACTCCAATAAAAATTAATTTAAAAAAAAAAGAGAAGACTCATTGTGCTCTATGACTAAGAAAGCTTCATCTGAGAACAAAGACCCCACCGGCTACAAGTGCAGTAACGACAGTGGCATTAAGCTGATGCCAAGGCGTGATTATTCCCCGGGAGCCTTGCTTAGTCAAATGACAACAGTCACAGATGGCCCCCAGGAAGGGAAGATCCTTGGTGAGATGCAAAGAAATGAATGTGTCTGCACAGAAGCATCTTTGGATGGGAACAAGGACTGTGTCTTCTTTCACAACAGTCCACTGCAAAATAGAATGGAGAAGGAATGACCTTCCAGGACCACAGGTTCTTGGTGAAGAGCAGAAGCAGTCAGGCAGAGGCAAGCTGGCCTTTCGGGTATGTGATATCCTCTTTGGGGACACCCAGAATTAGAAAGTTTACTCATTCTCCTGTTTGGGCCGAATAGCTTTTGGCTACAATTTGTCTAGAAAAAGATACAAACACGGGCTTTGCTGCTCCTCTTTTCCATGTTAGCTCAGAGCCTATTGTAGATACCGTCTCTCTTTGCATTCTGGAAGGGATGACATCCCACAGCTTCTGAGATGATGACTTAATCCTTTACCTGGACTACAAGCTCCTGAGAGGTCTGACACCTCTTACCCAGCCAGATCTTGTACCACGTTCCCCTCGCTCCTTCTACTCCAGTCATACTGTCTATCCTCCCAAACCCTCCCATCATAGGGACAGCTGCCTGGAATGTTCTCCCCTCACCCTACAGACTGATCTCAATCATCACTCCCTCAGGGATGCCTTCCAGGATCTCTCTGATGAAGCCATCGTGCACTCTCCTGTGTCATCACAGGGACACGTGTTTCTCCGTCTCCCTCACCATAGCTGTAATTCTCACTGACCTGGGGGCATTTGATGAATACCGATCTAACATTCCAGGCTGTGAGGTTCATGAGAGCAGTGACTGTCTTTGTTTTTACCCATTACATTCTTCTCAATTGCTGGCACGGTGACGTGCAGCTTTTTAGTGCTCTGGATCCTTTGTCGTTTAAGGAAATGAACTGGGGTGACAACTGTTTTAAGGACACTCAGTATCTTCCTGAGCACAGCAATTTCATCCTAAAGCAAAGCCTTTGTGGTGTGTAAAGGGGTTCTCTGTGTTAGTGTAACTGAGCAGGACCCTATGGGGCCTTCCCGTAACAGAACCTCCTGCCCCCCCAGCCCATGTCCTCTGCCTGACTCCTGTCTGTAGAAAAACTTTAGCCAAAGAATAAATTTAATTGGAGAAGTGAGAAAATGCAGAAGCAAAGGAAAGCAGTCAAACAAGACAAAGTAATAATAGTTTAGCCATTAAACAAAGTCAAGGACCTTTAGTTCCTCCTCAAGGGCTATAAATAATATTCAGGTCACTGTATGACCAATTTCAAGATGATTGTCAGAGCTGACAGTGCTGTTCTGCACATAGCCCCCTCCCTCAACCTAGACAACCCTGAAACTCCCCTTTAAAAGCTCTCGCCCCCTGGCTGGCAGTGGGGAGTTGGTTCTTTGGGACATGAGTCCACCTTCTCCCCAGATTGCTGGCCTCCTGACTAAAGCAACTTTTCCTTTCCTACCGACACTTGTATCTCGAGTATTGGCTTTTATTTGGCACCTATGTGGCAGCCAACATGGGGCTGGAACCCATGAACCCATGACCTTGAGATTAAGAGTCTCATGCTTTACTGATTGAGCTAGCCGGGGTCAGTAACATTAGGGATTATTTTCCTGCATGACTCTAACACTGGAGAGGATGGGATACTGGACAGAAGAGCAGGGCAAAATAAGCCCACCCAATTACTTTTGGGTGGGATCAAGGAAGACTAAAGAAGAAAGAAAAAGTATTTATAATAATGTGTTATGGGGATGGTGGTGGGATGAACTGGGAGATTGGGATTGATATATATACACTAATATGTATAAAATAGATAACTAATAAGAACCTGCTGTATATAAAAAAAATAATGTTATGGGCTTGTATAATCTTTACAGTTAGAAGTAGTTCACATACTTGACCTTCATAATGTGCATATGGACTAGGTAAATTATGAAAATATATTCCCAGTTCATAGCAGGGAACAAAAGATCACTGAAGACAAATAACTTGATTGAAGTGCTGGATTAGGAACCAGGTCTTCTGGACCTGTGCTGAACACCATGGCAGCCACACGTGGTCAGTGAGCATTTGAAATGTGGCCAGTCTAAATTAAGATGTGCTGTCAATGTGAAATAGGCACTCAAAGATTGAATACCAAAGAAAGGGTGTAGCCTCACTCCTTCATAATTTTTACATTTCTGACATATTGAAATGATAATGTTTTGGAAATGGTAGGTTAAAAATGTATTATTAAATTAATGTCATCTCTTTCTTTTTTTATCTTTTTTATATGTGGCTCCCAGAAAATTTAAAATAACATCCAGGCCACATTTTATTTCTATTGGACAACACAGCTCATGATCACAATCAAGTACACCTATGGTGTAGAGTCTGAGCTGAATGGAGGGTGGGGAGGCTGCATGCATTTTAGGCAGAACAATGAGAACTCAGGTGTTGAGATGGGGAATGATGGCTTTCGAGAAATGGCAGCCGGGTGTCTGGGAGAAAATAAGGCAGCAAAGTATCAGAGAATCATACTGTGAAGCCCTAATTATAATGTAGTGGCACGGAAGCTACACTTCCACTCAGAGAACTGGGTTCAGGTCCTCTGATTCTGGCTTGTGTGTGAATTTAGGCAGGTCTCTTCATCTCTCGGTTTCCATTTCTCTCTGTCTCTCGTTTTTTATCCTTTGAGAAAATGAGGGTTAAACCAGAGGATCTTGAAGGACCTTCTCTTTCTGGCTTGCAGGCTCTAGGACTCTGAGGGGTCAGCTTTTGTCTGTGTGAAGAGTGCGAGTGTGTGCACACGTACACGTGTGTGTGTGTGTGTGCAAGCATGTCCGAGGGTCCGTCATGGTCAAGGCTGAATTTTAGGGAGGTTAACCTGACCCTTGAGAGTAGGCTAACCTGGAGTGAGATGAGGCTGGAAACAGGATTACCTGAACTGAAATTACCAACTAAAATAAACTTTAGTGATGCACTTACCAGGAGGGCAAAGTGAAGTACCACCCAGACAACGCCGAGTGACGTCACCAGAAGATCGTACCTATTTCTTCTGCTTTGCCAGAAGCCGGCAGGTGACATCGCTATGATCTTCATTGTAACCTGGGGAAAAACAATGAAGACAATGAACTGAGGCTGAGTGTTCAGCATATATTTAAATGTACTAACCTGAGGCACATTATTTTTTTAAAGGATGTAGAAACCAAAGAGAAGAATTTATTACTGATGTGTCTGTGTATATACGTAAATCTATATTCTCCACACTCTTTTCTCCTTTTTCTACGACTAGTTCTGATAGCAAGACGTTTTTCTTCCTCAAGTAAAAGACCATAGATTTTGGGAAACATCAACCGGTACAGGGTAAAATAAAAATCTGCTTGCATTGCCAAGAAGATTGCACTGGAAAGCAATGTGACGTGGACCACATATTAAAATAATCTTGTCTGGGCCAACTCCCTCTGCCACCACATTGTAATTTGAGTCCCTGAATTACAGTGGTTTGTGCCGTTTGCTGTAAATATTTGAACTCAGATAACTAGACAGGCCAACATTCAGATACAACGTCAACGGCAGTTAGTAATTCTCGCCGTTGGAAAAATGGAAATATAAAGTGAAGTCTTTGTTCAAGCGAAGCAGAACAGCCTGAAAAGGAAGTATACTAAGAGCATTCTGTTCCCCAAAGAGGACTTCAAAAGCAGCGGGACGCGGAGGTGCAAGGAAGTGCCATGGAAGGAGGACGCTGTTTTGCTTTAAAATGTGCACTGCAGCCCCCAGCAACAGCTGGCTCATTACTGTACCTCTAGAACAAAGATGAACGTGAAAACGACCGACATGGTTGCCAAAGGAACAGTCACTGGGTCCTCGACGTCCCACTGTAAGAGAGACAGCACACACGTCTGTGCCTGCATTCCATCAACACGGAAAGACTTTCCCCTCTTCCACCCATCTGAACATGACTGTGAATTTAAATTTTTTATAAATGTAGACTGTGAGTGGACACGGCTGCCTGCAATGTTCTTGGACCCACGAATGAATAAAAAATTCATTCCCAGAGTGTTAGGGTGAAATAGAGTACCTTGACGGACAGCAACACCGACTGGGCCAGGACGAGTAATGCAATTGTCCTCTTAAAAAATGGATGCTGGGTTATGTCATACATCTTAGCTCTAAAACCATCATTATCTGAAAAGAAAGGTTTAGGCAAGGGCATTTTAGACATCGGTCACATTTACGTTCTTGCCTTTCATTTTCTTTAATGCTCGTCTTAAAACCCATTACATTTTTTTTTCTCCTACAGTTCAATCTACTGTGAAGTGTCTTGCAGGAATGGCTGGGTCTGAATATTTAAAACGACGGTGCATGACACCGTCTGCACTGGAAGGAGATTCGCATCATTCAGTTTCTGTCAGTTTAATACATTTCACTCATATGTTTAAAAGGCAAGCACAAATATATTTATTTAACAATTCATTTTTTCATTAAGGCTTATCCTGAGAGCACAGAAGCACGGCCTTTGGGTGGTTGATTTTAATAGCCTATGGAGAGATCTGTAGTTTGGAGCCTGTTTTTATATTAACTTCTGCACAATCGCCTAGTGGCCTCATGATGATTATTTTAATTGAAATCTTAGACTCCTGGGGAATCATGAACACTAGTGCCCAACATGAATAAAATCAGAGCATCTTTGATACCCGGGCGAGGTGGCAGATGAAGAGGCTGTGCTATCTTCAGGCGGCTCTTCAAATCTTCCCATCTTCTCTGATCTACAGTCAGCAGAGCCGTCCCCTTAATAAACAAAGGAAAACAGAGAAAGACCTTTTGTCATGTGCTCCACACCAAGGACATCGCAAATGCGCTGCTGACACAAACAAGAGTAATGTGGGTTTAAAACAAAGATATTCTTCCTATGCCATGGTGGTTCGATAAACAGGGTCAGAATTCTCAAACGTGGTCTTGAGAGAAGTTCCAGAAAAGAGGGCCGGGGGTTCAGAGAAGATTCAGCAGCCTTCAGGTGGCATCTTTGAACATGTATAATATTCAGGTTTGGGAAAATCTAAAGAAGGTTTTCTATATGATTAGATTTTCTAAAAGAGATACTCTCTAACAGTGGTTAGTTTCCTTTCATAGTAGAAAAAGCTGCAGCAAAATGATAGCTTATCAATGCTGCTGCTTCTGGTTAAGGCTGTTGTGTCTTTTTAGAAATCATTCTGTTACATGCAATCGTGAAACTGTTTTTAAGTGGTATGAGGTCAGAGAATTGCATATTTAAGAAATTTGTGCTGTGACAATCGGTTAAATGAGATCAGATATTCTTTGTTATATAATAGAGCACATCATTAAAATGCACTTGAATATATTACATTACATTTCATTACATTATATTACAAAGGCAGAAATATAATTTAAGAAACTGGGGAAAAAACCACCTCCCCTCTCCCATCCTGCCTTTCCTGACACAGAGCTAACTATCTTTCAGGGGAATGTCCTCCTCACTATGTTTTCAGACTTTGGCTGCTTATGTATATATAAATATATAAGAATGTGTTTGTTTTTAAATTTATAAATTTCTGTAATGGTATCCAACATGTGGAAATTTACGCAGTTTGTTTTTTACTATTTTTTTTTTGGCCGCGCCCCGCATCTTGCAGGATTTTAGTTCCTCTACCGGGGATCAAACCCAGACCCCTGCAGTGGAAGCACAGAGTCCTAACCACTGGACCGCCAGTGAAGTCAAGTCCCCAGTTTGTTTTTATCTTCATTGAAAATTACATTTTCCATACAACTAGATACTAGATCTGATTAGTTTATTTGAACTGATCACACAGTATCCCACTGTACAAATATGTCAGAAGTTATCATTTTAGGTTTATGGACTATAAACGATGCTGCAATAAACCCACGGGTACTGTCTCACGGTAAACATCTTGCTCTGTGGTAAATCTCTAGGAAAGGAACTGCTGGGGTCTCAGAGTTTACACATTTCCACACTTACCAGGGATTTCCAAGGTGCTATCCAAAGAGCAATAACCAAGAAAATTGGTTTCATTCTGCAAGTGTTCCCATTTCCTTATATTCTTGCCAATACTTGACTTTATCAGACATTTTAATTTGGTCATTTGATGGGTATGAAATGTATCTGATTTAGTTTTAATATTAATGAGATGAAACATTTTCAATGCATATATAAGGTGATTCCTGTGTGTTCCTTTGTAAATTGCCTGTTCATATTCTTTGCTCATTTTTGTATTTGGATATTTACTTTTTGATGTTTTGTAGAGATTCTTAATATATTCTGGATACTAATATTTTGTCAGTTATGTGAGTTGTAAGTATTTAGTCTTAGCTTGCTTTTTTTTTTAAAATTTTGCTTAGTGTGTCTTTTATCATTCAGAAACTTTTCCTTTTAATGTAATCTGACTTATAAATTTTTTTCTTTATGGATTTCACTTTGTGGTTAATGTCAAGAACTCTACAACTACTCCAGGGTTAAAAGCACATTCTCCATGGTTTAAAAATGGTTTAAAATTTGCTTTTCATAGCTGGGTCTTTCATTCATCTGGAATTTATTCTTGAGTATGGTGTAAGGTAGAAATGTCAGTTTAATTTCTGAGACCTAGACAATCAATTAATTATCCCAGCACCACTATGGATGGTCTCAGCTTCTCCACTGACTTGTTGTGCTACTTCTGCTTCATATACACATGGGTCCCTCCTAGGGCTTTCTGTTCTATTCTGTAAGCCTAACTTTCTATCCCTGTAACAATTATGGCACTATTATACTTACCATAGCTTGTTTTTCCACATTTTTGTTCATGCTCACCCCTGTAAGAGTCTTCTCAATCTAATTTATTTCAACAAACCAGTTTTTCTCACTCTTGAGCTTTTCTATAAGTTACTTTGTTTTCTATATCACTAATTTTCTGTTCTTTTATCTTTGTTATTTTCTTCCTCCCATTTTCTTCTATTTCACTTTGTTGCTCTGATTATAATTTATTGATTTGTGTATTTGGCATGTTAATCATCACTATTTGATTATTCTCTAACATACAATTAAAAGCTATAAATTTCCATCTAATTACTGATTTATCTATACCTTGTGAGTTTTGTATTCTTTTTTTTTTTTTTTTTTTTTTTTTGCGGTATGCGGGCCTCTTACTGTTGTGGCCTCTCCTGTTGTGGAGTACAGGCTCCGGATGCGCAGGCTCAGCGGCCATGGCTGGCTCACCGGCCCAGCCGCTCCACGGCATGTGGGAGCTTCCCGGACCAGGGCACGAACCCGTGTCCCCCGCATCGGCAGGCGGACTCTCAACCACTGCGCCACCAGGGAAGCCCACCTTGTGAGTTTTAATGTGATTTTTATAAATGATTTATCTAAATGCTTTGTGATTTTCTATTCTGATTTCTTCTGTAACTCAAAAATTACTTAGAATGCAGTCTTAATATTTCCAAATTATGGGGAATTTTTTGCTATGTTTTAAAATTGTGATAGATAACATGTGTACATTATCAATTCTTTGGTAATTATTGTTTTATGACTTTGTAGATGATACATTTTGTACTTGATACATTTTGTACTTGAAAGTAATACACAGTCTCAAATTGTCAGAGACCTTTATATGTCCATTGGACCAAACGTCTTCATTGTGTCAAATCTAACATGTTCTTTTTGTTCTGATTTATGAGTTTCTCAGAGAAATACATTACTATCTATCTTTCATCGGATTTTGGATTTGCTAGCTTTTTAAAATAATTTGGTTAAATATTGCTTTGTGGGCTTCCCTGGTGGCACAGTGGTTGAGAGTCTGCCTGCCGATGGAGGGGACACGGGTTCGTGCCCCAGTCCGGGAAGATCCCACATGCCGCGGAGTGGCTAGGCCCGTGAGCCATGGCCGCTGAGCCTGCGTGTCCGGAGCCTGTGCTCCGCAACAGGAGAGGCCACAGCAGGGAGAGGCCCGCACACCGCAAAAAAAAGAGAAAAAAAAAAATTCTGAGTTCACCTACTGAGTTACACAGAAGCAACCAATTTACACTTAGTGAAAGGCATATTACCTGCAATCAGTGCATCGGTTTCAGCTACTGTATTTTAATAACTTGCTGCACATCCTTTCAATTTGAACAATAGGAGATGCGTTTTTCAGTCCTCGGCAAATTAATGACACCATTACCAAAAGAGGAAATTTAGCAAGAGAATTGTGCTCTGAAATAATGTGCCTGAAAGGCAGCAATGAGGTAGCTTGTAAAATAGTTATAGAGATTATTTACACCGGTCACTTTACAGTTTGATGCGACTGCACACCGCCGTGTGTGGAAAAGGGAACTCAAAATGAGTGGCTAGGAAAGAATAAACGCTGCGGAATTCAAACCAAGAATTCTTACCTTGTTTTCATTGAAATTAGCAATAACTACTCCAACAAAAAGGGTCAGTCCAATCATGCAACCCAGGAATACGAAAACATGAATATAGATTCCATGCATCTGTATAAATGAAAAATACGGTTATTCATCAAAGCCAATGAAAGCAGCTGTGGTAACATTCAAAGGATTCCAGTGCGTGCTTACCGGACCCACACGATGAATAATAACATCCCTCACTTCCACCCAGCCTTTCAAGGAGAGAACTTCAAACAATGCCAGCATAGCATTGCCCACATTGTCAAAATTAAAGTTCCGAGGATTCGCCCTGCAAGTCAGAAAGAGGAATGTTCCGTGGAATTCCAGTGAGAAGCACCCTAAGGCAGTATCTATAACTCTTTCCAATCTTGGTTGCAAAGTATAGGCACTTGGAAGGTAGGTTCGATGGCATTTGTTTGCAAACTCATAAGAATGCATCAATGTGTTAGAATTTATTAATTATGCAGTTAATTATTAGGCAATGATGGGGTGTTCTCAATCGAAAACAATAAAATGCTATGTCCCTCGACTTCTAGCTCCAGAGGTTCTGCAATGTTTCTGGCTGGTCCTGATTAGTATACTGAGGACTTTCTGGTTAGAACTTGTGCAGGAGATTCTTACAAAGGGGCCTTGGAGTTTGGATGTGAATTTTGAAATGGTTTTACATTAGAAAACCTTCCTAAAGGCATGAATTACAAATCCTGGTGTTAGTACAGAAAGTGTAAAATGAGTAGAATTTGGCCACTTAATTCTGTGTCATCACGTGAGCAGCATGCTGTGACCTAGTGATGCCTTAGGGGCTCCTGAGGTGACACATACCCTATGTGTCTCCAGATCACCCCCTCCCAGGTGGGTGTTTTTCTCTCATTAACTCCAAATGTTCTCAACAGTTACTTCTTGTAGACCCCAGTGTATAGTGTGCTGTCTACCGCACAGTTAACTCCTGAGTTCTAAAACATTTTGGACCCTCTATTTTTGGGGGGTCAGGGGATGTCTCATTTCTTATTTTTCTGACATGTGTATACTTTTTTCTTTCCACTAACATCTTTCTACTACACTGCATCTCCCCTAGTCATTACAGGTCTTAGCTAACATATTTGTTAACAGAAGAAGATTTCAGTGTTTTTTTTTTAATCCCCCTTTTCTGAGGCTATTTTAAATAATTAAGAGATTTAGACAACCACATGCTGGAAAAATCATGACTATCAACACATTTCCTGAATTTGATTACCTGAGCTCAGGATTATTGACTAGAGTAGGCCTACTGAAGCCTAGCTGAATTATATTTTGATAATTTTTTTTTCTTGCTAGCACATTTATCAAAAGTTAACCTTCACAGGAGGCAACATTCTAGGGGGAATCCAGTTTAGTATTCTTCTACCACCTTTTATGGTTTTCAAAACTAGAGACTATCATGAGATATACTTTTATAAGTTTTCTTTTTTTAACACTAAATATGTGAGAATCTAATAAGAAAACATAAAACTGAGACTGACTTATTTTTAAAGGTTTAAAGCTGATTGGTAGAAATGTTTTCTATATAGTAAAAAAGCCCCACTCAGAAATTAATATTTAGGGATTCTGATTAATATTTTTTAAGTATGAAAAACAAGCATATTCTCTTGTATTTTTCCAACAATCTTTCCTTTTGGGGGTTTCAATTAAATTTAATATATTTTACAGCAGACAGACTCTGTAAGGATTCTACAGATGCCACAATTTTCTTGAATAAGGATTTTTTTTTTAAACCAAGTGAGTCAGCTCTCAGATCTGATGTTGAACTTTCTTACCCATCCATTTTCTTTATGTAAAAGTGCTTTTTTTAGCTGAATTTGCAGCAACCCAAACTATTCTCATGTTCCACATCCTTTAGAAGTTAGAATATGTTAAAATACACTTTCAGGCTAAAGCAAGAAAGTAAAATGGAGAATCATAGACTTAAATTGCTGGAAGAATATACCACATTGAAAGTCTCAGTTTTAATCATATTGGGTATGTTTATGCTTTGTTCATGATACTAAAATTGGAAGGTTTGAAACTTTACCAATAACTACAGAGGAATTCAACAAATCCCAAACACAGTCCATTACTGTCATTTTTCCTGTTGTCCTCCCTTGATCTGGAAGGCTATTTAAATATTATCTTTTCTGGTTAATTTTTAAAAGATTACAACATTGTCTATCCAATTCAGAAAAATGAAGAATCAGTTCTGACCTCACAATCTGAGTTTTCTGCCTCCCAGTGACAAGTGCTCCAGGGACCCCAGGTCATGATAAGGAGAGCTGCTTCTCCTCTGGGAAGATGGGGGTGCCATGGAGGAGAGGAATCTAGCCTCTGCCCTGGGATGTGGAAATGCAGGGGATAACATGGGCCACAATGGTACCCTGTATCTTACACAGCTCTGCCATCTAAAGAAATCAGATACTAGTACTTCCTGGAATGCAGACTGCTTTTTGCCTCGCTCTTTGGTAATAGCAATTTGAGTTTCCACAGCCTGCAACAATCTTACCTCTGCCTCGCCCCTCACTCTCACCTGCCCATGGCTCCTCCCCCTTTCACCTGCCTAATTCCTATTCACCCTTCAAGAGTTAACTGGGTGTCTTCTCCTCTAGGTCCTTCTCCCTGATCCAGTCATTGTTTGGATTAGCAGCCTCTGTCCTGCGTGTACCACTGAACCCTTTGCCTCTCCGTACCCTAGAATCAGAGGCTGATACATCATGGAGCAAAAGAAACTTGAAGGTAAGCCTCAGGGCCCCTCCCTGACACAGGTCCCTTCCAAGACTCAGGAAGGGGCCCAGGAGTGAGTTCACATAGTCATATGTTTCTGTTAAACTTAGAAAAGCAAAGTAGCTTTATATTCTTTTTCTTAGAGAGTGTACCCAAATTGTTTGAGCCTTAGACTCGACAAAAAAAATCTGATCTCTTTCTGCCTAGAATGTATCGCAGTGTAATTTGAAATTACCTACAGGTAAGTTTCTGGTGAACTTCAAGTGAGTTTAGGGGCTTCTTTATGTAGCATTAAAACTTCAGCATATTGTATTAAATTATTTAAAATTTTATTTTCTGTTCTCCATTGGACTTCTAGCTCTTAGGGGTCAGAGGCCATAGCTTGTTCCCAGTGACAGCATTACTCCTGGTGAAGAGTAAACACTTAGTAAATATATTTATTGTAAAACTGAATGCTTTGTTGATTTCTCTCCCATGCATTTCCTTTTCCTAAATCCCAGACCTCTGCTTAAGACAAAACACACAATACTTATAAATATGATATGTTTAATCCTTTTTACCAAGGTTATTTTATCTCATCAAGTCTGAGTGATTTGGAGGAGAATGAATGTATTCATCTGAAGAGAGAATGCAGAAGCCAGACTGTCTCCTGAATTAGCTAGTGCATATTTATGTCCTAATTATAATTATCATAGCATTCCTCTAGGCTAATTCTCAGATGTAAGTTATTTTCTTAATCATAAATTAGCCAATATAAAATTACAAAAATTTCAGCTGCTAACTCTTGACGAGATTATTAGAGAAACAAAACGTGAAAATTATCATGGTTACAGTTGACATTTATTTGATGAAAGATTTATATTTCACTAAAACTAACCCAAGTCACAATATTCTGAACAAATGGGAAAAGCTATTGTGATAACGTTCAAGTGATGTCCCTCTGTTTGCTTGTGCTTTTAAAATGTCATTGAACTTGAAGTCCTTAATAATAGCTTACATAAAACATTACATTTCAGTTAGCTGATTTTACAATCTTAGAGAGCTGGTTTTATGGAACAGGTTGAACGCTGTAGGGTCCAACCGGAAACAGCTTACTCTCCTCCTAATGCTACCTTCCAGTACATCCTACTTGCTTCCTGACACCTTGGGGAAAGCCCAGAGCTTTTCGGTATATAGTCAGCCTCATTCTAAAATGCCCACTGCATTCAAACCTGTACCAGGATCTCACCCTCAGCAGCTCAAGCCTGACCCGTGGTCTGAGGAGGGAAAAAGAGTGTCAGCCACTCTGGCCCACTCCTCCTCTTGGTGACTGCCTGGGTCTTACAAGAAGGGGTGGGATGCAGCTGGGGTCAGAGACGTCACATCTTGTGTGTCTGACTCCGCTGGACTGTGGCCATTGGCGCTCTCCTCACAGCAGCCGTTGTTCCTTCACGGAGCTCATTTAGGTGTTCCCAAGAAGCACTCCATGTTTGAACAGTGTTTCTAGCTTCTGTGAACTTGGCACTTGAGCATTTTTCCCACATACAGACGCTGGACGCACTTTGTTCCAGACACCCGGTAAGATGCCTGAGTCACTCTTCCTGGCCTCGTGCCTCCCTCGTCCTCCCCCTCACCTTGAGATGAGCCCTTTTCAGGGTGTGCTTTTCAAATACAAACCAACTAACTCAGAGTCCACCCCCTCCCCCACCACCAATCACCTCCTCTATCAGGCTGTCACACTCTGGGCCACCATCCACCTGCCCGAGTCACCCCAGTGCCAGGTACCAGACCACAATGGATGGCCTCTATGTTCTAGAGCCCATTACAATTATTCAAACTAGCCATCCCTAGGCCTGCTTGCCCTGCCTCACCCGTTCCTTCCCAGGGAAACCACAGTAAAGGCTCTTGGCCCCAGCTCTCCCCACCTCTCTGCCTGCTGACCCACACTGGTGCTTCCCCAGGTGGCCCCCCGGGGAGTGGCATGCCTCCTCCTCTTGGGAACGATGAGTAGCAAACTGTCTTTTCAGTGGTAGTGCTCTCGATCTGTCGGCTTTACTGTACCTCACATTTTCTATGACTACACTCCCCAGCATAAGGATGCCCCAGTGTGTTCTTCCTGCTATGAGTGTAGCCTCTGGGTGATTCTCAGCTCCAACTCCTGGAAACGTTCCCACAGCTTCTTCCCATAGGGGCACCCTGTCCGCAGCACACAGCCCTTTGCAGCAGGGTTCCAACAAGAAGGCTCAGGTCAGGTGGCCCTTGGCAGATATGACGTGGCCCCCCAGAAGCAGCAGATCACCCCGTCTTCCCAGATGGTGACGAGCAGCTTGCCCACAAGAGCCTCTCTTCTTGCCTTGTCAAACTCTGATATCAACTGGTCCTTCCAGGGGTCCTTGTAGGAGCAGGAGAAGCGCCGTCCACCTTTCCCCACAGGGAAGGCGGCGTGATGCCACAGCTCTCTCTGCTCTTGACTTCATTCACTACCATGATGTTATCTTTGAATGCAGTGCTTTCTTTTACAGGAGCTGGGTGATGGATGATGTTTTAGTAAGTTCTGATGGGATTGGTTTAGTTGGCCTCTTT